ACACACACACACACACTATATTAAAATAGTAGAATGTCAAGAAAACGTTCCCACAATCCCAAATGAAATTTCTGTTTTTTTAAGTTTTATATTCTGTAGCCTGTGCATGAGATTTTATTTTTTGCATTTTATTTTGTGTATGTGAGAGCATGTGTCGCATGCCTATGCCGTGTGGTGTTTGTTCATGTGGAAGTCACAACACCACTTTCAGGAGTCTGATTCTTTGCTTCTGCCATGGGAGTGATTAATCTTAGGTTGCTGGGCTTCACGTGCCTTCACCCAGTGAGCCATTTCGCCAGTGGCTGCTGCAGGGTGTTTTGAAGGGAACCGTACACGTGGAAGGATGTGAGCAAACAAAAGCGTGCTCCTTCTTTACTGTGTGCTAGGCAGAGCGTGCTGGTAAAACGTGGTAAAGCATGTGGACAAGAGAGGTGGCCTGAGTGTGAGTGAACACTGCCATGGTTGGCTGCCTGCTGTGTTAAAGGAAGTCTTTGTCAGTGACTTGTACACTGTTTCCAAGGAGTGGAAACTCTGGAACGGTCTTCTGTTGCTCACTTCCTTGGCCTGTGAGGCCTCGAAAGCACAAGCAGGCACAGCCCCGCTGCCGTGTGTTTCCCCAAACCTGTATTTCTTAGTATTCCCTCCTCCTCAATACCGTGGGCCCTCTAGACGTGGATAGTGTGCATGACCTTGACTGGGCCCTTTGGAAAGGTTGCTCGGGAGTGGATGAAATGTGTAAAAGCTGTGTTCTGTCTCTGAACGATTTCTCTCTCTGCATGGGCTGCTGAGGAGTTATACTTTGTTGTTTATGAAAGCTGGTGCTAAGAAAAGTCTGCTTTGTGTGTTTCAGTTCCTCCTCTGGAAGGGTTTGTAATGAATCGGGTACAAGGAGATTATTTTGAAACTCTACTCTATAAGATATTTGTGTCCATAGATGAGCACACTAATGTTGCAGAGGTAAGCGTGGCAAAAGCATTTTTGAAAGACTGTGCTGGTAATTCTGCGAGCAGGACCGTGATTCTCAGTTTTGTTTCCTAGCTGGCAAATGTCCTCGAGATAGACTTGTCACTGGTGAAGGTATGTTACTCTTTACCTTTTTTTTGTAGTGTGAGTTCTGGGTAGATTTTGCTATTTGACTTTTATCTTGATATACTGCTGGTCCTTATTGGCTGCTTGAGGAAATCTGCACGGTAAAGGGATGGTTGCAGAGAGAAAGGGGGAGACGAGGAGCCCGGAGTCTCTTTCCACTCAGTTAATGTGGCAGCTGAGGCGGCCTGGTCAGTGGCTGTTACAGCCGCACCCTTAGCCTCCTTAGAAGGGGGTTTAGGGCCAGGTGATCCTGGCTGGCCTGCTCTGCAGGTGAGGTCTGGAACCCTTGCAGTCAGCAGAGGCTTAGTCTCTTGCAGTGTATTTTTCTCTACAAATGCTCTGATGTCTGTTGTAATGCGAATTCCCTTACATTCCTTACAGAATGCTGTTTCCATGTATTGCCGGTTGGGTTTTGCCCATAAGAAAGGACAAGTAATAAACTTGGATCAACTTCATTCATCATGGAAGAATGTTCCCTCTGTGAACAGATTAAAGTAATTCATTTATTCCTTTTGAGAAGGATTTTTACATGCAAAAAGTTTAACTGTGCACTGTGCTGTTGACTCCTGTCTATAGTGTTTGAGTCATCTGGTGGGATAGACCTTCTTCTGTATAATCTGATGAAAACCGGGAATGCTTTGTCTAGGAAACAGTGCACACGGTATCTTATAAACTGTGTAAGTTAGAACAACTGTGCTCGAGCTGTAACTGTCATGCTCTGGACATGTCCAGCGCAGTGTGAGCAGCCATCCCACTCTCACGCCTCTGTATTGGCCTGTGTTCTGGTGGGTTGTCCTAGGTATAAAGACCAGCTTCAGTAGCGATTTCCATGTGAGATCATGTCTGTGGTATTTGAAAAGTGGATGTGTTCTTCATGAACAGGAGCACCTTAGACCCACAGAAGATGCTTTTATCCTGGGACGGCGGGGAAAGCAGGAGCCCTGTGCAGGAAGCTTCTTCGGCTACCGACACTGACACAAATAGTCAAGAAGACCCAGGTTAGCAGCCACTCAAAGAGCTCGGATGCCGTAAGACTGCAGTATTGCTTATATTTAATGAAGTTTGTCAGGCTGTCAGCTAAAACACTTATTTCAGGTGATAAGAAAAAGACTTTCATTGACTTGACTTTGTATTCTTATTTTTTTTCAGCTGACACAGCCAGTGTAAGCAGTTTGAGTCTATCCACTGGGTACACAAAGCGTATTGCATTCTTATTTGACTCCACGCTCACTGCGTTTTTAATGATGGGGAATCTCTCCCCGGTAAGTCAGATGCTCCTTTCAGTGTCATGATGTGTTTAAAGACGACATAAAAATAATGCTGTGCTTTGTAAGAATGTCTTTAAGTTGGGAGCTATTCCTGAAAGCAGCCACCTGTGAGAGTTCCCAGTGGGGACTGCTCTTGTAGTTGGAAGAAGCAGTTGCTCACGTATCCATCTTTCAGTTTAAATATGTTAGAAAGTGTGATAAGTGTTGTTAGCGTCCAAAGGGAAAACGAGAGCTTTATTTGGTGTTGTGTCCTTTGCAGAACTTGAAAAGCCACGCGGTCACCATGTTTGAAGTCGGCAAACTCTCGGACGAGTCCCTGGACAGCTTCCTCATAGAACTGGAGAAGGTCAGGGCGCCAGGCGGCACGGCGGCGCTTTTCCTGCTGCCTGTGGTGCCTGCTCTGATTATCTGCCCCTTGTGTGTGTGTGTG